CTTAAGGTTGGGAAGGGATGGAGAGTTCTAGGGATCTCTCTCCCTCCTGCCTCTCTCCTATCAAGCTGGCCTGGTGGGATGCTTTCCAGAGCATCAGGGTGTTTCATATCTTAACCTATGGCATTGTTGGTCTAGGGGAAAAAGAGAAGGGGCAGGAGGTGTTTTTCTATGGCTGAACAATGCTTAACTTAAAGCCATAACAAGAAAGTGTCAGTATCTCTCTCTGAACTGGGGACTTCCTTAGGAAGCACATTGAGGAGGCAGACAGGGCTCAGGAGGGACATTGCCACCTCCTGGTCACTCGGGGCAGAGAGTGACACCACGTCAGGGCTGGGGCAGGCTCTTTAGAGCTGTCTTCAGCCCCGCTCATGCTATGGCACCAGTTTTCCTAGCCTGTCTCTGGGTGTTTGATCTGTGTAGGATGACTATAGCCACTCCACAGCTCCTGGGTACCATGACTGTAGCCATTTTTTTCCAGTTTTGCAAAGGAGTGGAGAGCTTGGTTAAATATTTGGATGGGCTCTCCCTCTGTAGAGAGACCTTCTAGGAGTGGTCTCCTGCTTGTGTCATTGTCTACAACCTCTGTTTTCTCTCTGACTTTTTCACCTCCTCTCCCCTCTTCCTTAGCTGTTATGGGCTTTATTTTGAAGCTTGCCTTCCAGGTGTGGGATTTTATCCATATTTACTCAAGAGTTCTGAGTCGTACTTCCCAACTTCTCCCACGTCCTCTTAGTCCTACCAAACCTTGCTTCCCATGCAGCTGGCAAGCTCTCCTTCCAAATCTTAATGTTTCTATGTCCTGCCTGCAAGCATGAACATCCCCATGAGCATGAACCCAAAGACATCCCCAGGCAAGCAGCCATCCCTTTCTCTGACCCAAAGAGCCAGTTCCCTCCTCACAGCAGACCATGTTTCTATGGACCTTGTGAGCTGGCTGGGGTCACAGCATCCCACGGCCTCCTGGGTGAACAGGACGTCCAAACACCGGGCAGCAGGCATGCATTCCACTCCTCTGCCTACTGACTTCTCCAGATCAGGGTAGACACACTTTTTTTTTTTTTGCCTTGGGGGAACCATGCTGGGCATTAGCAGCCACTGAAGCCTGGAGAGCCTAGGCCTCTGGGACCCCTGCAGCATGGTGCCCTGACCCCAGAAGCATCCCCAGGAGAGGAGAGGTCTGCTCAGATGGGGACCTTCATGGGTTACTTTCTTCTCTGTAGGTTTCTTTTCATTCTGCTGGGCCCACGAGCCAAAGCAAAAGCCTACCATGAGATTGGAAGGGCAATGGCCACACTGCTGACAGATGAGGTGAGCCCGGGTGCAAGGGATGTCCTGGGCACTCACAGGTGGGACAGGGCAGGGATAAGGCTATGCCAAGCACCCCAAGGCTCCTTGGCAAGCTGCAGCAAGGAGAGCAAGGGAAAGGGTGAGCTGGCTGCCTCCTTTACTCAGGATAAAAACCAAAGATTTTGGATGGGTCTATGGGATTTAGGAGCAGCTGTTGCATTGAACTGGATGGGTCCCTCTCTTGGTGATGTCAACTCACTGGGAGCAAGGCTCCGAGTGGCTGAATGCAGGGATTCTGTGGCTAATCCACCTCATCTCCCTGCAGCTCTTCCAAAGGGTTGCCCAGCAGGCTGAGCACCAAGAAGACCTCATTGCAGGGATTGATGAATTTCTGGATGAGCTGACTGTGCTGCCTCCCGGGAAATGGGACCCCAGTGCTCGAATCCCTCCACCCAACTGCCTGCCCTCTGCACACAAGAGGTATCCTTGGGGGAGGGCTTGCAGCAGCCTTCACCGGCCCCCCTGGGGTGCAGTGGTGGGTCCCACTCAGCAAGCGCTGCTGTGGGTCCGTGACACTGGAGTCCTGGGCTCTGTGGGGAAGAAGCCACCCAGCATCCAACCTTTGCCAGTGCAGTTCTCCCAGCCAAGCTCCTCTGCAGCTCTGGCTAGTGTTGACTGCAGCCACTGACCTGGGTACCATTCGTCTTGCTGTCCCACGTGGCCCTCACCAGTGAGGGAACGGCTAGACTGCCCTGCCTGTCATGAGTGCAGGAGCCACCAGGAACACTGGGCTTCAGTGTGTAGGTGTGAATCTCATCCTCCAAGCAGTTTATCTGCTCTTTCCAAAACTGGTCCTGCTAGGGTTTATTAAAGGGCTTGCCTGCCAGCTGGCAGAGGGAATTCCTCCTCTTCATTGCAAGGTGATCTGCAAGGTCCCTCCAGTTCCACTTGCATCCCTGTCCACTCTGCATCCCAAGGATGCAGCCAGGCCCCAACAGCTCTGTTCTGAAAGCTGCTGGTTCAGGTTCCTCTTGGCTCTGTCCTAGGATCTCCACACATCTGCGGGAGTGGAAATCTCCCTGCAACAGGAACATGGCAGCTGCTGAGGACAGACCTGGCCCAGGGCAACCGCATTTCAGTGAAGAGCTGGAGAGGACGGGAAGGTCAGTGCCTGAGAGACTCGAGGCTGATGGGAGACACAGCAGCTCCAGGCTGGCAGGCTGCTCCTTGCAACGGAGCAGAGCAGGTCCATGCCTTGGCCTGCCTTCTCAGTCCTGGTTTAGTATGGGAAGATCGCTGGCTTTCCCTGGCATGTCAGCCAGGGCCGCCAAGTCCAAACTACAGCCCTGGGCATGGGGAGGGACTGGCCTCATCCCTCTGCAGCTCTCTTCAACTGAGTTTGGCCTATGTCTAATGTGGGTCTGGCTGACTGGAGCAACTGGTCTGAGACCTTAATCCTGTGACTTTTCTGCTTGCCATGCTGGCCACAGGCTCTTTGGAGGGCTGCTCAGAGACATCCGGAGGAAGGCACCGTGGTACAGGAGTGATTTTTCTGATGCCCTACACATCCAGTGCCTCTCGGCAGTCCTCTACATCTACCTGGCAACAGTCACCAATGCCATCACCTTCGGGGGCATGCTTGGGGATGCTACTGCTAACATGCAGGTTGGTGTGTCTGCAGGATGCCGAGCTGGGTGACAGCCGTCCTGCAGGGTGGGCAGGCGGGACTTGCCAGTTCTGGGGTGCCACACAGGGAGCCTCCTGTGTGGTAGAGTTGCTTGGGGGAAACACCCCATGCACTTTGCCTGCTAGCACACTGCTTCACCCAGACTGGATGAAGGTCTTATTCGACCTCACCTCTAATTTGTGCACGTGGAGTGATGGCCTGGCCCTGTGCATTCTGAGCATTGCCTAAAACCTGCATCCTTCCCTGACCTCTCCAGACCTGAGCGCTGGCTGAGCTGGGATGCTGCATGCCAGGGCTTCCCCCTACCCTGTTCCCGGGGGCAGCTATTCCTGGGGGAGGCAGCATGGAGTCAGGGCACACCATGGCCCAGCCCTGCCTCCCACTTGCCTCTTAGCTCCACGGTGACAGCAGGGATGCTTGCCTGCCTGCTGGGAGGCTGTCAAGGAGGCTCAGAGGAGGCTCCCCAGCTGTGGGCTCAGGGGAACCACAGCTCCACATCTCTGACAATCCCCCAGTGGGTGGGACGAGGCCCTGGGATGCATCAGGGCCCCAACCCACTGTCAGGCTGGCTCTGATGTCTCTGCCTAAAGCTCAGATGTGACAGGAGGGACCTGTGGGGCAGTGGCTGCCCTTACTACTACCATACAACATGGGCAAATCACGCCCCAATCCGGCTGCTGGCACAATAACCAGCAGGCAGAGTGATTAGAGCTTGAGCTGAGCAGGGCTCAGCGCAGCCAGCTCTGGGGTTAAACACCAACAGGAGACCCCACTTCCTCAGGACCACTCAAACTCCTTACTCCCTCCTTCACGAGGGCGTCAGCGAGATGTAGTGACATCACCCGTAGGCAGGATGATATCATCTGTAGTTAGGGCAACATCACCTCTAGGCATGCTAGAACCATAAGACCCCAACCACCTGAGCAGCCCTATTTGACCTCAGTGTTGCGGGGCTCGAGTTCTACAGGCTCGGAGCAGCAGGCTCGGAGTGTGGGGTCTTTGGGTGCTCCCTGAACCAGGGTCCTTCTGAGCCAGCAGCGCCAGGCCTGCGTGCTCTGCATCCCCTTCCTTCCCAGGACCTGCCTCCTCGCCCACAGGGCTGCAGCCTTCCACTACTTACGTTGCTGGTGGCCTTCATCAGGCTGATAGCGTGGAGACATGCAGGGAGCTGCCTGTGGCCTAGCTCCTTGGCAGGCTTGGGACCCCCCGGCTCCCACTGCATGCCTGGGGCCTGGCACCGCTTCCCTCTACATTTCAGGGTGTGCTGGAGAGCTTTCTGGGCACTGCCTTTGCCGGCTCCATCTTTTGCCTCTTTGGCGGTCAGCCTCTCACCATCCTCAGCAGCACTGGCCCTGTGCTGGTCTTTGAGCGCCTCCTCTTCTCCTTCAGCGAGTAAGTAGCATACCGGTGGGACGGCTCCGTGAGGGCGATGGCTCCCCCATGCTGCTGCGGTCCTGTGCCCAGCCCAGAGGCTAGTGACCCCCAACCCGCTGCAGGACTGCCAAAAGTTTAACCTCTGATCCTGGCCATGGCTGGGGCACAGCCCCTGGGTGAGCAAGGCTAATGTCCTGTGGGGTGTGTGTTGTACTGAGAGTTTGGGCCAACCTTTCCCACTAGGGATTACAGCCTGGACTACTTGGAATTTCGTCTCTGGATTGGGCTCTGGGTGGCCTTTTTTGGCTTGGTCTTGGTTGCCACTGAAGCAAGCTACCTGGTACAGTATTTCACCCGCTTCACTGAAGAAGGCTTCTGTGCCCTCATCAGCCTGATATTCATCTATGACTCCATGAAGAAGATGGTGAGCCTGGCAGACACCTACCCCATCAACTGGCATTACAGGACTGATGATGTCACCTTGTACACCTGCATCTGTAACTTGTCCAGCCCAGGTGAGCCCAGCCTCCTGCTGGCAGCTCCCGGCCCATGTGCTGAGTACATCAGTTACAGTGGGGGCCTCCAGGACTTGGTACATGGGGAAATCGTGGGATCAGCCTCATGCCTGGGGAGTGAGTGCCCTGGATCCAGCTGGGCTCTGGCCAGCAGCTCAGGAGCTCTGAGCTGCCACCCCTGCCCCTTTGCTGGGACCCTTTGCTGAGACCCTGCATCCTGTGGCACGATGAGAGTCCCTTGGCCCGGCTCCCCAAACCCCTGGATCTCCCTGCTGCAGGCTGGCAAGCCAGTGCCACCAGCCTCCTTGCCAGCCTCAGCTCTGCTGAAGCCAGCTCAGCCTTGCAGGATGGGCATGTTCTTGCAGCTGGGTTTTGTGTGCCAGCAGTGGGCTGGAGGCAAAGCTTTCCCCCTGCTGTGCAGTAGCAGCCTTGCCATGCTGGGGCCTTCCTTGGCACAAAGCCGTAGGGAGGTGGAGTTGGGCCAGGCACGGCAGGTGCCTTCACCTCCCAGGCACCATGTGAGGTGGCTCTGCCTTGTCCAGGCCTTGCTTGGCTGAGGGCTGAACGGATACACAACTTCAAGGAGGGCTGCAGTTGCCTATGTGGGATGAGGGAACCGACTGGGGTGGTGGACAAGTCTCGTAGCTGGAGGAGCAAGGCTTGGTGGGAGGCTGCTCAACCCATGTCTTTGCCTGCCCGGCCATACTAACACCCATGCTGGCTGTTCCCCTTGGCCAGGGCACATACAGGCACACGCTCCTCTTGTGTCCTTGGGCATCCCTGGGGCTCGCTGGGATGCAGGCATAAAAAGCATAGCCAGATGCTTGGAAATATCGCTCTATCCTGCCTCTGCAGCAGGTCTGGGCCAACCCTTTCCCAATGGGACTTGGGAATTGCCTTTCTGCCATCAGAGATGGCCCTGCTCACGCTACCCATATGCCAGGGAATCACACTGAGCACCTCCACACCCTAGGGCCCTGGGGAGCAGTCAGCTGGCATCAGGGCAGAGGTACCATTAATCCACTCCTTCACTGCGCCCCTTGGTACAGCATGGTAGAGGCCCTGGCCTGTCTCCAGTATCCCCAGACTGTCCTTTATCCCCAGCCAATAGCTCCACATTGGGCAGGCGCCATGCTCCATATGGGGTACACATCTACCCTCCAACTCCCAGCACCTTCCTCCGTGCTGACCCACTGCCCAGGTCTGGCAGCTCTGCTGCCTCCACAGCCCTTGCAGAGCAGCAGGGATGGAGAGACCCACTGCCAGCTCGTGGCTGTGCTACCTGGCGGCTCAGTGGTTCTGGGAGAAGGGAGAGCCTCAGTGCAGCTCTTGCAGTGGTGGGGGGCTTTGGGTTGCTGGAGGCTGGGGACACTGGCAAGCCCTGTGGCATCTGGGCAGGCTTTCTCTGCAGTTTATAACCTGGTTTATAAATCAGAGGGTGTTCCACTGGCACTGGAGGAGACATGTTCCCACTGCTAAAGCAATCCTGCAGATGGAACTTGCACCGTGCACCAAAAGCATCACTGCTGAGCAGAGTTCAGGGCCACTCTCACCTCTGAGTGGGCTGACTGCTTCAGCCAAGCTTTTCCCAAACCCATCCAGCCCAGGCAGACACTTAAGCTGGAAAACATGACCCTGAAGTGTTGAAGTTTAGCAAACTTCAGAGCAGGTAGAAATAGGGTCTGAGAAGAGCTGGGGAGGGACAATTTTTACATGGCAGTGAGGAGACAATACCAAAGGACAGGGCTGGAGGATCAGGAAGCCCTTCAGGGTCTGTGTGGTCCTGGGCCAGGGAGGCATCCTGGGAACCCTTGAACTGGGCCCTCTGATTCACCCTGGGTGTCAGCCCCAGCCTGGCACCATCCAGGCCAGCACATCTGGCTGTGAGCCAGGCTGTTTCTGCCTCTGCCTGGAGCCATTTCCTGGGTCTCTGATGTTCTGAACAGCCCCTCTGGGGAGGTCCAAATCCAGTTTGGACACTCTAGATGAGTTTGGACACTCAGGAATTGGCCCTGACAGGGATGTAGTCCCAGCCAGCCCCAATGGCTAGGCTGTAGCCCAGCCAACACATCCCCAGCAGTTTCTGGGACCCTCACTCCTGCTGTTCTCTTTCAGGCAATGTTTCAGCATGGAACAATACACTGCTCCCTTTGCCCGTCACCCTGCAGGAGGTAAAGACCCTTTTCCTCTACTTATCAGAGGCAGGTTCAGGTGCAGGGCAACCCATGCTGCCCTGGGGAGCTTGGGGCACCACATCCTAGGGGGCCCTGCCATCCCTGCCTACCCCCTGCCATCCTCCTCCAGTGTCTGGGTTCCAGCCCTGCTCCCTGGCCCCATCTCCCCTGGGTGTCCTGTCCCTACAGCGCCCAGAGGCTGTCATTGTAGCCAGGCTGAGCAGGACCCAGTGTTTGGACCAAGGAGGCCACCTCCTGGGAACCAGCTGCCACTACGTGCCTGATGTCACTCTCATGTCCTTCCTCCTATTTGGGGGCACCTTCCTGTGTTCCACAATGATCAAGCGCTTCAAGACAACCCGCTACTTCCCCATGGTGGTGAGTGTTTCTGCCCCATCCTAGACTCCATTGCCACTGGAGGAGCAGGGCCGAGGGGCTCCCCCAGCCCTGCACCCTGGGGGCTGAGACCCAGATACAAGCTCTGGAGGGCAGAAGTGTTCCTCTGGGACAACATCTGAGCATCCTGTGCAGCCCAGCCTCCTGTGAACCTTAGTTGCTGCTCTCCACCTTGACTTGGCCATTCACTGGAGCTGGGAGTGTTACTGGGGTGCATGCACAACCCCTCTCCCAGCCTCAGGCTGCCTGGGAAAAGCTTCCCGGCCAACCACAGGCTAAACTCATCTGCTTTCCTTCAGCTTAGGAAGCTAGTGAGTGACTTCTCCATCATCCTGACCATCCTCATCTTCTGTGCCATTGATGCAGTCCTTGGTCTGGAGACCCCCAAGCTCCTTGTTCCCAGTGAGCTGAAGGTGACGGGCTGCGTGGGGAGCTGCGGACTCCCAAAGGGTCTGGGGTGGGGGGAAGTTCATGGAAAGCACTTTCAGAAAGATGTACCCACGGACAGGGAAAGCCTGGTCTTGGGTGTGCTCCTGTGGACACACTCTTGTCTGGGCACTCTGGAGTGGAGCTGTCCTCTTGGCAGAGGAGCACTACTGTGGCAGTGGCTCAGGCAGCCGGAGCTTGAAGCCTGCAGGGCTGGAGGCCACTCCAGATGCAGGGGCAAGGCCTCTGAGTGCCGCCCAGAGGAGGGAGGAGTTACAGGAGAAGGGAGACCTTTGCTCCAACTTGCCTGCCTCTGGGCCAGCCCAGACGGGTTCCATACAAGCTGTGGGAGTGGAGTGGCAAGTGCTCGCCCATGCCGGTCAGAGGCCACTACCTCACCTCCTCAGCTTGCAAACTGGCTCCGGCATCGTCTAACCCATCAGGGAGACCTTACAGGAGAGAGGAAATGGCAGGCTGCCCTAGAGAGCTAGCATCTCCCCTCAGTGGGAAGCGAGTGCTTCTGGCCCAGTGGGCTCCAAGTGCAATGCAGTGTCACAAGCACCGTGATGTGTCAACCCTGCTCCGGCCAGCTGGGCAGCCCAGTAATGTCCAGGAACGATGAGGACTTCCTGTGTTAGTGTCTCCAACAGCTCATCTCCTTGTCTCTCCCCGAGAACATCCTGGCTAGGTTCAGCATGCCCAGCCCATTACCCCTGAACCTTACTGTGCTGTCAGGCCAATGTGCCCCAGCTGAGCATCACAGGCTTTGCTTGTGAACAGGTCTGTGTCCTCGGAGGAGGCTGCTCCATGTTGCTCCTGGCATCCTTCTTCCATTGGCCCAGTCCCAGGTGGAAGTGCAGGGCAGGCTTGTAGCCCCTCAACCTGATACTAATGCAGGACATGCTGCTGCAAATGGGAAGGGTTCAAGCCCCAAACAATCCTGTGGTCTATAAATAGCCCAGCCTGGTCCTGAACTAGCCACCTGCATCACTGCTAGGGCAATATCACAGCTCACACGGGAGCTGAAGGCACAAGCTCAAGTCTGGGCTTGGGCTCTCCACCCTGGGGCTGGGTGGGGAGAGCATTTGGCAGCTCAAGCTCTTTCTCACAAGCTGAGCCATTGTCTGCATGTGCTGTCACCTCCTCCAGGCTCTGAGCACCCACCGCTCACCATCATCCAAGTGCATTGCCTCCTCCTCCAGCTTTGGCACAGCTGCTGCCCCTGCAGCTCATCCAGCCATGCCAGAGTCCCAGGAGGGCACGTGCCTCTCTAGATGTGCCTGGCTGCCAGCCAGGAGCCCAGGCAGTGCTGAGGAATAGCCCCCTTCCCTGGCAGGAACTGGGATGTCCATGCAGGGTGGCTGGGCACGTCATGCTCCTTGGGAAGGAGCACCTATGGGCACCCGCATTGCTCCAGCCTGGGCACCCAGCTGGGGCTGGTCCCTTTGCTCCTCTGTGGCGAAGGCCCTGTAGGAGCGTGGCCAGCATGACCCTTTTTTCCCTGCCGCAGCCCACAAACCCTGCACGGGGCTGGATCATCTCCCCCTTTGGAGCCAACCCCTGGTGGGTTTGTCTGCTATCTGTGGTGCCTGCCATCCTCGTCACCATCCTCATCTTCATGGACCAGCAGATCACGGCTGTCATCCTCAACCGCAGGGAATACAAACTTCAGGTAAGCAGAGGCCAGAGGCAGGTCAGGGTGGCTGCATTTCCCTAGGCTCACATCCCTCAATTCCAGAGCACAGCTCCCCCCAGCCCCAGATTGGGGGGGACAGCCCCCGAAGCTGGCACCCTATGGTCTTGGGCTCCTGGGCCAGGCTGGGTGCTGAGGAGAGGTACACTCCAAATCAGCCATCAAGTCAGCCAGATCTAACACCTGGGCAATGCTGCCTGTCCAAAAGCTGCCAGGGAAGATAGCTCCTTTGGGTGCTGCATCTGGCTGGTTTGTCACACACTTCCCATGCCCGAGGCCAGGGCAATGCCTCTGCCCAGCTGACCTGGGTGCTCAGCATCAGCCACCTGGATGACAGCTCCCTGGGGCAGCCAGCCTGGGGCCAGCACAGTGCAGATGTGCATCTTTCAGGGAGTTGACCAAGACCTTCCTCATGCTCAGGGCTAAGGACTGAGGCTTTTCCAGCCATGAGGCCAAGCACTCCTGGAGACATGAGCACTGGGCTGGGAATACATCGCACCCAGGCTGACAGGGCCAGGATCTCACTTTGCTGGTTTCCTTTGCTTCCAAACCTAGTGGGATGGACTAGACATACACATCTTTCTCTTCTCTGGTAGTTGCAGCCTGCTGGGTGGCCTGCCCACCCTCCCGTGCAGACTAGGTATGAACAGCTGAGGCACTGGAAGCATGGGCAAGGGGTCAGGATGTGGCCCCAGGCTGGGAGCAGAGCCAGAGCAACTCCCATCCACAGGGCCTGAGGGGTGAAGGAGCCCCTTGTGCTTCCCCAAATGCATGCCTAGGGCCTCCTTGTTGCAGGCTGGAGCATCAGGGAGGTGCGGCTCTTCTCCAACAACTGCCAAAGGGTGTTGCAGCCATGGGATGACCTTCCTCCTTCTCCCTCAGCATCACTACCACTCAGGGCTGCTGCCCTGGAAGGGAACACTTTCCGCTTGAGACCCAGCCCAATGCTGAGGAGCATAGCCATGAGCCCCACATCTCACAGAAGGCCTGGGAGGCCTGGGCCACTTAGGGCCTTTCTCCTCCCCAGTGTGGCCTTCCCTGGGGAGGAGAAAGCTGAGGAGCCTGAGAAGAGCTACCCACCTCTGCCCTGCACCAAGCAGGCCATCCCTCCCAGAGACTCCGCTCTCACCACAGAGGAGGTGCCATCTTATCCTGGAGATGGCATGGGCCTTGCTTTGTCACCCAAGCAGGATGTAATCCTTCTGACAGGTCTGCAGGTGCCAGGCTATCCCCAGGAAAACTCTTGCCATGTTTTCCAGCATCTCCAGCATCTCCAGGCATTCTCAAGCATCTCCACTGCCGACCCCAAGGAGGGGATGAGCAATGGGACCTCCGAGGTGGTGGGGGACCTTGAGTCCTCCTGGGCACTCGCTCCGATGCTGTGCTGGTGAGGAGGAAAGGCAGAAGGGCCCTGTTGAACCTAGCAAGCTAAACAAGAGGGCCAGACAGGCCTCACAGCAGGCAATGGGGGTTGCAGGCCTGGGACAGGCAAGCTTCAAACTTGGGGAGAAGCTGAGGGAGATGGGAAAGTGCAAAGCCCTGGAGCTGGGCCGTGTCAGGAAGGCAGCATGGAGCTGGTGAAGGTGCCGTCCTCCCACTCATGGAACTGTTGGGGGACCTCTGAGTCCAGCCCCGCTCATTGCAGTTCCAGAGGGATGTTGTGGAATTAGGGAAGAGCAATTGAAATTATCAAGGAGATGGAACAGCTGCCTTACAAGCAAAGGCTGAACAGACTGTGGAGGACAGCCAACATGTTGCACAGACCCACTGGTTAGAGGATGGGGATGGCCCTTGGGGCCAGGGTGCAGCTGACAGCTTCATGGCTAGTCACCACAGGAGTGCAGATATTGGACCATAGGCTGAGCTTTGGCTATTCAGGGCTCCATCTGAAGGTTTATGAGATTTATAAATGCTTTCAGAGTCATGCAGATGCCAGGCAGGACTTCCCCAACTGTATCTGTTCGAGATTATATGGCTTGCCCTGGCAGTATGAACTCCTGGAGCACAGAGGCAGCCTCACTGAGCTGAAAGATGATGCTTCTGCCAGAATCAAGGGGCTGCCCCCTCATTGGCCTTGCCAGCAGCTCATCCCAGCTTCCTTGCCGTGACATGAGAGCCAGGAGAGCTGGCTAGCAGGGACCCCCTTTGCACGTGATGTCCTCCGGGATGGCATCCTGCTCCTAGCACCCTGTGAGGACCCCTTCAGTGGCAAGCCAATGCCCTGCTCCATGGCTTGCCTCCCAAGTCCTGATGTCTCTCTTGTTGCAGAAAGGGGCAGGCTTTCACCTGGACCTCTTCTGTGTCTCCCTCCTCATGATTGTCACCTCCATGACGGGCCTTCCCTGGTATGTGTCTGCCACTGTCATCTCACTGGCACACATGGAGAGCCTCAAGAAGGAGAGCACAATGTCGGCTCCAGGCGAGCAGTCCAAATTTCTGGGCATCAGGTATTACCCAGAGCTTTGGCCATGCAGCGAGCTCCTCCTTGGGCCAGGTGGGAGCCTGCCCTCTTTGGGCTGCTGCCTGAGACCTCTCTTGCCAGAGCCTCTGCTGGGAGCCGGAGGATGGGCACATGCTCACCCTCACTAGCAGACCTGGTCCAGCGTACAGCAGATCCTTAGCCCTGGGTTTGGGGCTGCTCATTTGTCCTCATTTGGGGAAGCAGCCCAATTTCCACAGGAAAACATCCCTTGCTGCCACTCAGCATGGTGTCCTGGAGCTGAGGCAGCACCTGGCCACCTTCTGCCAGCCTGGAGAGGCTCAGCAGTGGGGAAAGGGTCTTGCAAAGGCCTGGGATGCTGCTGCCTGTGGTTCCCACACACCATCACCCCTGTGCAATGCAGAAAAGAGGCCCCAGCAGGGCTTTGGATGGGAAGCTCAGGCACTGTTGTGGCTTGGCCACCACAAGGGCAGGCAGGGGCTGCTGGGCACGCCAGAGACACAACGTGCCCTCTGCAAGGCTGCCAGGGGCCTGCAGCATCCTGTGCTCCCCAGACACCTGTGACCCATGCGCTGCTGCCTGCAGGGAGCAGAGGCTGACTGGCTTGGTGGTCTTCATCCTGACAGGAGTGTCTGTGTTTATGGCGCCCATTCTCAAGGTACGGAAACTTTCTTATGTTTTAATGTTTTTGCACCTTTTCCAAAAAAAGACGGGAGTTGGGGTGGGAGGCCTTACCCTGCAAGCCTGGGGCCCATGGGGCCAACATTTTGTAACTTGGACATCTCTCCAGCTGCAACCTTTGCCCACTCAATTGATCTGTCATTGGAAAACACCAACTGGCAAATAAGGAGCCTCCCGCTGCATAGGAAGGCGACTCAGCAAAGGCCAAAGGGTACAGCCTGAATGCAGCAAGGATGGCCTGTGCACCCGATGCGCTGCTGACGGGTGTGTCAGGGCTGTGCTACCTTCTCTCCACCAGGCCTTCCGGCCCCTCTGACCCCAGGGCCACAGCCAGCAGGAGTGTCTCCATGCAAGCCCTGTGTCCCCAGGCACAGCTGGGGTTACTCTCTGCATTGTTACCCCGGTCCCCACCTCCTGCTCTCCCTTGTAACCCGGTCTGTCTCTCCTGTGGTCATTGGGGACCACCACACAATCAGCTCCCCAGCCAGGGGTGCTAGTTAATGCTTCCTCTAAAACTGGTGCCTTCATCATGCCAGAGAAGCTGACCCTAAACCCGGGCCCTCCCTGAATCCCCAGCAGGTTGCAGGCATGGCAAGTCCATGGGAAGCATCACAGTGGCCCTCAAGATCCATCCTCACCTGACCCCGCTGGGTAGAAAAATATATTGTGCTGAGTAACACAGGTGGTGGGAACTTGATCACACGTCAGAAAATGTGGTTGCAATAGAGGAGATAAAAATAAAAGCTGTGAGCAGGTATAGCAGGACATCTCTGCTGGCTGTCAGTGCCAAGGGATGATTCACAGTGTACTGTGTCCTGGTGCCGCTTAGCAGAGCTGCCTGTTGCCTATGGCTCAGCGATGGCCCTTGTGTTGCCCGTGCCAGGGGAAAGCTTGCCTTTGCTCTGCTGGGGACCCCAGTATTTATAAATCCTAAGCCATAAGACACATCTCCATATGGGCTGGTGCCTTGTCCTCCATCTCTAGCCTGGCTTGCTCCCACCATGTGCTAGAAAGCAGGGTGAGTAACAGTGCAAAAAATGAAACAGCTGTGAAATGAAACAGCACTGTTATAAATGAAGTAAGCAAATGATGCAGCCACGTCTGCAAACTGTTCTTACGGGAGATGAAGCTCAGTGAGTGCAATTCTTGTGGGGAACTGCACCCTGCTGACACCTCACCTCAATGTTTTGCAGTATATCCCAATGCCGGTGCTGTATGGAGTCTTTCTGCACATGGGGGTGGTGGCTCTGAACAGCATCCAGGTGAGTGGGGGCTGTGTGGAGCATGCTGCTGGACTGTGGCAGGGTGATGTTTGGGGGATGAAGGGGTTTCGCTCAATACCAGCTCTAGCCTCATAGCATGGCACAAAGCTTGGACTTCAGATCTGCAGGATGTGCAGCATGCCACTGCTATGCCCACCCAAAGGCTCAGGACAGCAAGGGGCAGAGGGACATTTCTGGGACAGTGAGCGCTTAACTGATCAGATGTATTGGGAAACGTGGAGATATTCAGGGATTACCCTGCAGCCATGGGGGTGTCCTGTGCTGTGTCTGGGAGCTGCAGGCAGAACTGGGGACCTTGCTGGTCCTTTGATCCTGGCATTGCTAATGGTGTGCCAACTCTGCCTCTCTCCTGAGAAAGGAGAGGGGGAAAGAAATGGTCTTCGTCCTGACAGGAGTGTCCGTGTTTATGGTGCCCATTCTCATACCTGCTCCAGAAATATATACCTCTTTTTTTCTCTAAACAGAGAATTTTCCTTGCAATTACCCTACTCTGGATGAAAGACTGGGAAACCTCTCTTCCTCCCACTGCTTGGGGAATCTGGGGGGTTTGTGCTTACTGAGGGCAGAAACAGTGTTTTCTGCATGCAAGAGAGGGGATCACTCTGCTCTTGATGAGGACATGCTTGCAGAAAGGTACCGTGAGCTCAGATCGAGAAATCAAGTGGTTATCATCCCTTGATTACAGTTTGGATCTAGCTTGAGATCTTTCAGACGTCTGCCCAGAGTGAGCTTCCCTGGCTTGGGGCAGCGGCTGCTCCATCATGGGTCTGTGTAAGAGGACCCTGGTTTTACAGCACTAATGAGATAAACTTATCCACCACAGATCTCAAGAATAGCAGTGTGCAAAGCTGGCCCCATGAGGAGCCACTGGCTCAGCTTCCCTTGATGGCATGGGGCCCATATGGCTCCCCCATCTGGGGCCCAAGCAACGGGTGGCTGCAACAGGGAGGCATGTAAAATTCCCCAGCATCCCTCCCTCAGGCTGCACGTGACAAGTTTGCTGTCCTCTCACGGCAGTTCACAGAGAGAGTGCGGCTGCTCCTGATGCCGGCCAAGCACCAGCCGGATCTCACCTACCTCCGTCATGTGCCTCTGCGCCGAGTGCATCTCTTCACCTTCATCCAGGTGCTGTGCCTGGTCGTGCTCTGGGTCCTGAAGTCCACCGCAGCTGCTATTATTTTCCCAGTGATGGTAAGAGGTCCCTTTTAATCAGGCAGTGCTGTCTACCCTGTCACCAGCTGGAGACAAAGCCACGGGCCACCCAGGATTCAGAGCCTTTCCCAGCCCTGTGCTGGGCCAGACATAGTGCCTAAATGCACCTGGAAAGTTGCTGACCCCTCCCCTGCACATCCTCTGTGCTCTTGTGTTCGCATTGCACAAGGCTCCCCAGGCACAGGGAAAATGCATTGCCATCAGCCTGGCTTTCCCAGGTCAGCACTGGCTGGACCATCACAACTTTGGAGACACTATGTGAGTGCAGTCCCCACGGACCAGGCAGGGACAGATGAAATGTCACCTCTGACTGTTCCCTGGCCTTTGGCGGGGGGGTGGGGTGGGGGGGCGGCAGGGAGACACAGCAGAGCCCTGCGCCCATGCAGGCAGCGCCACGTTGCCTCTGCTCTGGCCTCGAGCACTGCATGATGCGGATGTGTTGACTTTGTCCCGGCCCCAGCTACTGGCCCTGGTGGGAATCCGTAAGGGGCTGGAGTGCATCTTCTCCCTGAATGACCTGAGTTGGCTGGACAGCATCATGCCCGAAACAGCCAGGAGGGAGGCAGAGGAGAAACTGCCCAGGAAGCTGGAGAAGGAGGGAAGTGACAGTGAGGAGGTAGGTGGCATCCTGGGGGCTCCACTGTCATAGCTGTCCCCTTCCGTCAGTGCAGAGTGCTGAGCCTGGCCTGAGCTTGCAGCCCAGGGCAGCAACGTCTCCAGCCCAGAGAGACAGGAGGAGCAAACGGCCTCAGCACAAGGCACTGAGCCTGGCTGAAATGGATTAGCCCTGAGGTGAGGGGTGCTCACACCTGGGAAACAGTGGAGGGAGCAGGGTCACCAACAAAGCTGGTGCACCTAGGCCATGGCCAGAGCATGCCCCAATCCACGGTGATGCCCAGAGCTTAGCCAGGCATGAGCAGCAGGCTGGGACTGAGCTGCGCGGTCCAGCCACAGCTAGCAACATGGGCCAGCTCTGTGTGGACGTGGCTCGCTGGACTGAGGACTGGGAGCACTGCTGGACTCATTCCTCCCCGGCCTCACTTCTCCCTCCAGTCTGAGCTGATGCATCGCCAAGGACCAGAAATCAACATCTCTGTGAATTAGGATCACATCCGGGATGCAGGACAAGGTGAGCGGCATGGGAGAATGGGCCCAGGGGCCAGCCCCACCAGTCCTGTTCAGCTCAGCAGAGATGAAGGGCCTCATGGCAGGCAGTTACCACTGCTCTGACAGCATTGCAGCAGGACCCAAACCTGCCAGGGAAGTCTCTCCGCTGTCCTCACACCCCTGCCCATTCATGCCAGGGTTTGCCCAAGGGGAGTCAGCCCCCTATGGATGCATTGTGCCAACCTCAGCACAGGCTTTGGCAGTGCACAGACTGGGTTTAGAGGTTCAGCACCTCCTAGCCCAATCTGGCACAGACAGCAGGTGCCCTCAGGGCCAGAAGCTGCCTCGCAGCAATGTGCTGCTTGCAGCCCCTGATGCAGGAAGGCTGAGGAAGGGAGACCCTGCCCTGTGGCAGGGCTGCTCCTGCCTCCCCAAAGCTAGGGAATAGTGCTCAGATGGCCAGCCTAGCTGCACTGCTGGCCCAGCACTGTCTGGTGCAAGGGATGAAGGCAATGTAAGGGTGGCCCAGGGGCCAAAGAGCTTCCCTCCTTCCTACAGGCACTTGCCTTTACCCTTCAGCTTGGTGGAGCTGGGCTGTGCGGGAGAGGGTGATGATGTTGCCATGCTGTGTCCTCCTTAACAATGCCATGCAGCAATTCCTGTGTGCTGCCAGGTGCCTGGAGCAGCCGCATCCCTGAAAGTGGCTCTGTTCATTAGACAGCCCAGGGGCTCCACTCAGTGCAATCACCACCTGGGAGCTCGCTGGGATCAGGATCAATATAATTGTCACAAATGGCCCTTCGGGTCCCCAGAGCATCTGATGCAAGATACACTGTCCCCTTCCAGCTCTGTGCAGATGTAAGGACCTCGCATCCTGCATCCTACGGTGCCTCCTCTCTGCTCCTGCCTGATTGCCCCTGACCTGAGAGCTAAAGAAGTCCTCAAGAAGCATTACTTGCCCGTGACCTCAGTTGCTGGTATCTCTACAGCCTGGCAATTTCAAGCACCACAGTGGCTTGGGCTGCCCAAAGGGGGTTATTTGGGATGAAGGGAGGAGCTGGAACAGACGCTCAGGAGGATGCAGCATCTGATACCTTAGCACAGCCACCACATCTCCCAACGAGATGGCCAAAGTTTGCTGGAGGATGACATGCCAGAGCGAGAGCTCCAACAGATGGGGGTAAAGGACTGATGGGGCTGGCCCACAGCACCTGCGGGGGGGAGCCACAGCCTGCTGCGGTGTCGCTCTGTCTTCTGCTTCCAAATCAGCTCCTGCTTGGAGCCAGGGTGATGACCCAGGGCTGGCGGTGAGACAGGCACACCCAGGCCATGGTCACATATCAGCTGGTGCCCATGGCAGGCTTGTGGCTCAGACCCCTCCACAGGCTGGGAGCCGCAGCCCAGAGTGGCTGCCCACTGCTGGCACTGCTCAGGGACTCACCCAGGAAGAAGCAATTAGAGAAGGACAGTGACTGGCCCCCCGGCACTGAAGTGGGTCACTAGCCTCCTGCAGAAGAGCCACCGCATCCCTCAGCCAGGGCAGGGCTGGTAAGAGTCCTGTGGCACCCTGGTGACATTACATTGCAAAACTCATTCTGATAATTAAATATAATTTGTGTTTGTTTTAATAAACAGTGCTTTGCCCTTGTGCCATTTGCTTGGCTCTTCCTTCAGGTGGGAAAACAATGTTTTCATCTTAGGCCAGCCAAGATCTTGCCCCTGGCATGGCAAAACCTGGGCATGGCCAGGACATGAGGAACCTCTGTTGCAGCAAGATGCAGCTTCTGGAGCTGGGTCGAATTGCGCGGTCGGTGCTGCACACTTGCCTCCATGAGCTGTCCATTCCCCATGAGCTGAGCCATCTTTCCAGCCCAGGGGACTCCTGTTGGACCCAAGGCTCATCTTGGGGCTGGGAAAACTGCACCAATCCTTCACATACAGGGTGTGTGCTCTGATATGGGCCTATCCTCTCTGCTGGGACTCCCCTCCCTGAGCCCAGCATGTTCTTGTTCCCCGTGTACATACTCCATCCATGGCTGCCACTCGGCAGATGTCCTTTGTGCTGCAGTGATAGCATACATAGGCCCAGAGTGAGGCCAAGGGTCTGCCAGGGGAGGGAAAACGTGAACTGGCTCCTGTCTGTATCCCTGGCTGGATGCCAGAGGCGTCTCTGCGTCTGCTCCCAGGGCCACTGTCATGGGGAGGGAAGGGATGACATCTGAGAGGTTGGCAGGAGACAGGGACAGATATGGGGGCTGGTTCCTGGGGCATGCTTGCTGCAGATAGACAGGTGCATCCCTCTGCCAGCACATCTCTGCAAAAGTACTCGAATCAACAAACAGACATTTTCCATCCAAACTGATTTTTCTTGTAAAATTCCCACCTGGCCCCTCTGGCACTGAAATTTCCATGAAGACTTCTGCAGAGATGACAAGAGGCACGGGGCAAGCAGCCCTCTCTGGGAGGCTGTGCTCTGCCCGTGTCCCATCCTACCCACCAGTGGTGAGTTCCACACCATGCCTCCTATTGCCCATACCACCCGCAGCACACAAGACTGTGGTGTCACTCACATGTACAACCTTTGAAGTAGCTTGGGCCCCATGCGTGAGAGGAAGTCACAGAGCTGGACTTTAGCACCGTGGTGAGATGCACTGTGCCTGCCGCAGCCAAACAAGGCAAAGTTACTGCCTTCTGCCACTCCCAGCTGCCTGACACCATGCCCTCAGGCCTACTGGCATGGCTGCAGGCCAGCCCCTCCCTAGCCCCATTCTGTCAGGCTGGACGGGTTTCCAAACCCCACTATTAAACGTGTCTCAGCTGAACCATGTTGTTTGGAGAGAACAAGTTCGGGGACGACTTGATGGAGAGCTGTGCTGGCGGGTTAATGCCAGCAGGAGGGCAGAGCGTCTCAGGGCTGACTTCTGCAGCCAGAACAGCCTGAATCCAGGCTGCAAAAGGTTTAGGAGCCTCTGGAAGGCACAGAGCAGAGAAACAGCAGATGTTGGAGTGTGACGTGTCTACTGATCTGGGACTCCAGGGAGTGGGCGGCATTACTCGGAAGACTAGATACCGTCTGGGATTTGCCTGTCGTTGCAATGGGGTGATACAGAGACTCATAGGTCTGTGCAAAGTGAGTGTGGGTGCTGGAGCCAAGCCCACACAGCCGTCACACGCAGAGACGCTCGCCACTCCGGTCTGCCCTGGCAAAGAGGAAGGCCTTGGTCCAGACTACACACCAGCTAGAGCCAGAACCAGGCCCTGAACGCCCTGAAGAAGGTCCCAGCAGCGGCAGGCACAACCTTGACCAGCGACTGACAGAGGGCTGGATGGGGTCTAACGTCTCCTTTACTTCTCTGCAGGCCACTTGTCCACAGCAGGGTATTTTCAGGACAGCAAGTAATAGTACCCCAGAACACACTGCACTTCACAAACAAGCATGACTTGTTTTTGCTGGATTAAAGACTTGGTTATACCATGCAGCCAGGCCAGGGAAGACCCGCTCTCCCCTGAGCACTGCAGTGCCACAACCATCTGCCACCACCAGCACTGGGACCCCCCGGGGCTGCGAAACGTGGCTCTCACCTCTGGTAGCCCGGCAGCCCACGGCTCAGTCCCTCTGCCGCCTGGTGTCCCTGCAGCGAGCCTCCATCCAGCACAGCGTCTGCCGAGCGGCCCCTCTCTGGAAACGCCTCGGGGAACTCCACAAAATGGCTGCGCGTGCCCTGCCTCCCGGCCTGCGGGCAGCT